CTAGGATTGGTATCCAATTTTCATCCAGTGACCGGCTTTTAGATAAAAGTGATCCAAGCAGCTCTACAGCAGCCCAATCACTTTTACAGGGCTGGGAAAGGGCCCCCGTCCTCCTGCTGCCATATGCCATCATCCCCTTTGACAGCAATATCATTGATAATGAAAAATAAAAAAATTAAAGAGAATGTGTAAAAAATGTAAACAAAATAAATAATAAACTTAAAAAAAATGTAAAGTGTTCCTGTCCCCAATGTCCATGCACAAAAGTCCAGCACGCATTTGTGAAAAGTGATTGCAATGTGAGGTATTGTCACAAAAATCAGAGCGAGAGAAATAATTCTACCACTAGACATTACATTTATCTCTAAACTAGTAACCTGTAAAGGCTTTTAAAGTGTCACCTATGGAGATTTTTAGGTACCATAGTTTATTGCCATTTCACAGGTGTGCACAATTTTAAATCTTGACATGTTTTGTATCTACTTACTTGGCGCAATATCACCTTTTCTATTTTACAAAAAAGGATATTAGATTGTGTTTGTTTTTTTTTTTAAATCTGCATGTTAAAAAAGACTGTGCAAACATCATGCAACATAAAAAAATTGCTACAACCACCCTTTTATTCTCTCGGGCTTCTGCTTTTAGATAATATATCATGGTTGGGGGTTTGAAGTCATTTTCTAGCACAGACCACAAATACAATGCTGAGGATGTTATACAGTTTATTGAATTCATTCTTAAATACAACTACTTTACTTTCAATAATGACATCTTCAGTGTATGAGCACTTCTATAGGAAGTATTATTATTATTATTATACAGTATTTATATAGCGCCAAAAGGTTTGCTCAGCACTGTACATTATAGTGGGGGACAGTACATGAGACAATACAGTAACAAAACAATACTCGAGGGGTTCGAGGGCCCTGCTCTTTCGAGCTTACAATCTAGGAGCAAAAGTAAAATGGGATCCCATAATGCTAACTTATTTATGACTGACCTAGAAGACACATTCTTTAACATCATACAACAAAAGCGATACAGATAGTATCACTAAATTAATATTTTCAACATATGGATAGAATGTGAAGAAAATCTAAAAAAAAAAAAAAAATGTACTCATTGATCAACACGATTCACTCATCAATCAACCTAAAGATGGACTATTCAAATACACATATCAATTTCCTGGACACCACAGTATCCATCTCAATAAATCAATCACTTCAATATACATGAAATTCACTGATAGATGCAACTATCTCTACAGTTCCAATTTCAATCCCTAGCACACCAAACAGGAAATCATACACAGCCAGGCCATCAGATACCACCGAATTTTCACAGACCCAGAGGACAGAAATAAACATCTCAGAATAATCTCAGACTCCTTCCATAAGAAAGGTTACAAGGACAAAACCGTCAAACACAAGCTTAGACAAGCATACGAAAAAATCTCCTACAATACAATGAACAGTAACCACATATAATGCAGCACAGGAAAGGATAAGAAAGATAAGCAAAGATTTGCAACCCATAATAATATAGGATGAAATGCTGAAAGACGTATTCCAAAAATCCCCAATGCTAGCTTTCATGCAACCATTCAAGCTCAGACATAAACTTATCAGTAGGAAACTTTATTCTGAATATGATGTCACAAATAAAGGAACCAAGCTTTGGAAAAAAACCAAAAACAAACACTGCAAGTTGCTCAGCCAAATCAATCCATTAAAAATCATCACACGCAAAAGGGACCTTCAATATTACAGGATCATATTGCTTTATCTCCAGTAATGTGGTGTACCTCATCCAATGCAAAAAATGTAATCAGGGATTTTATGTTGACAAAACAAGACAGAAATTACAAACAAGAATGAATTTACACAGACACACCATTAAAGAGCATAAGGAAGATGATTTCTGCACACCTCTGGGACACCATTTCTCATAACCAGACCACACCATGGAAGATTTGAAAGTTTTAGTTCTTAAAGAGAACTTCAAAACTATTCAGGAAAGGAAAACTTTTGAACTAAGAACAGGAATTCTATCTGAAACAAAAGACATTGCATTAAATGTGGACCTCAGCTTTTTAAACCACTATCCAATAGTTTTATGTCAACTGTCACCTCTATGACTCTTTCCCCTTTCCCAGTCCAAAGCCCTCTCCCTGGCTTATATCATGAACTATCCAAGTTTTATTATGATTGATGTGTATGTTTTTTCCCTTTAGAGATTGTGTTAACATATAGCTAAAACTTTGTGTATTACTACTGCTTGAACCTTGTAGAAGGGGATACGCCCTGAAAGCATGTCCTGAAAATTTGGATGTTAGTGTAAAAGCACAAATACAAAGCATCACGGACAGTACTCAATTGTTTGTGCAATGGCAATATAAACTCGACGGCTAATTTGGTTACAGTTGAGCTAAAAGGTTGCTGAAAATTGTCCAGTAAAAAGTTAGTTTTAGTAGAAGTGCTGAGTTGTGTTGTACAAAAAGAGGTTAGCAATGAGGATAATCTCTTGGTTCAGACTGTGCTTTGCCTGTTCAGCCATTCTTCCTCTTGCCAGACTTTTTGCTAATTTGTTAGGAGCCTACTGTCCTTTAGAGTAGCATGTTTTTCTTCTGCTATTATATATGACAGATTTCTGTCAACGGTTGTTGGGAAAGCAGTAGGTGCTGGCACCTGCTGCATCCTTAGTAACCAGTATTGGGTATAATGGTCTAGTATGTCTTTTTAGGGGAACCACAGGCTAATTTTCTTTTTGCATGGTGTCACCTATTAACATCTGTATTAGACCTTTATCTTGGATATGGGTCTTGTATAGATGAGGGGAATTCCTGGCCATTTGTTACAAAAAGAATGAAACAGCAGGGAGTTATACATTTCCTTTGTGACATTCTAGGGGGTTTCACTCAAGAGTAGTACATTGCCAATGAGTTCATTCCAGCCAGGAAATACTATTTAGGGCTAGTTGGCCCACATTTTTTTTTTTTTTAAGAAAGTAGAAGTACCGTAAAATGAAAGGTTTCCCTTGCAGGAGTTTTTTGCAACATCACTTCAAACATAAAACTAAAAAACTTTAGTTCCCTAGCTCACTCTAGCAGCACTACTGTTCAGGTCTGTTGGTTGTTCTTTAGACCAACTCACAACAAAGCTGTGCTCCTGTGCAAGCTTTGCGCTTTTTTCATGGCTCCTTCAGCTCTCTCTACATTTGCCCACATTCTGGCCTGGGCAGGGAACTTCCTGTCTCCTGGATGGAGTTCAGAACTACTGCTATACCCTTGTTTATAAGGGATGTGCACACCTGCACAAATGGCCTGCTGGCCACCAGAAACAAGATTAGAGGTTTTATCCCTCCCAACACACTTTGAAACTTACATAACTCAATCGAGGAATTACAAAACCTGTAGACAAATGAAAGACCAATTTTCTCCACTTAAACCACTTAGGACTAAAGATCCCCTAAATCTGTATACATAAGAAACTTGTGTGCCTTCTCCCAATGGCAGGGCCCAGCGCCTTGAAAATGTCAGTTTTACTGTAATATACATTGTACAGATGCACCACTTCTGTGGATATCAAGGTGTACCTCTAAGCATGCTATTTAAAGAAACTTTGCAATTTTAATGTTGTCTATTAAGCATTACTAAATTTGTTGTTCCCAGATAAACACAATTTTTAAAATGTCTTTTTTTTTGCATTGGTACACGTTCCCCAGGACCATGGCCATCACTTCATGCCATTTGTTTGAAATTTGCCTATAGCCTAGAAAATGATTATTGCTGTTTTTTTTAACATTTGGCTCCTACTAACTTCAACGGGGTTACTAACTTAACGGGGTTAGGTTTTAGCACCTGAATTTTCATGATGATTGCTGAACCTACCTCAAACCAAACCCAGGTACATTCACCTCATCCTCAGTTAGCTGGAGAAATATCTTAAAAATTTAAGTATTTCAAACCAACTGTAAACGAGTAGAGATTAGTAAGACAACATTGCTTATAACTTATTATACTTTTGGGTGGAGTCATTCATGCAATGGTTGTAAAATGATAACATCCTGTGCAGCTAATATATAGCTAGAATTGTGTGATCACCCTCTGAAGACTCTCCTTCAAAGATCTTGCTGCTCCGTAAGACACCCATATGCAAGGTATCAAAAGGAAACACATCACAACTGAACTGCAAATTTCAAAAGCAGAACTTCAGTCAAAAAATTTAATCGCCAATAAAAAGATAAAATAAAAAAGAGCTTTTACTGGAATACTTACCATTATTATGGAGCTATTTCCCACAGTTTGTATCCAATCATTAGATGTCCTTGGTATTCTGGACTGAATGATGGCCAGACTGTCAAGGACCCCCACCCTCCCTCACCTGTGACTGAACAGTAAAGGAGAAGCAGAAAAGTGACAGGCGCATTTCTCTGTTTGCTTTCTCCTCCTATCAGCATTCGCCTTTGTCAGCATATAAACTGGTTGGCTGCTTATGATGTTTCCCCTCCCCCAATCTGAATTCTGCTGTACAGTGACTGAAAGAGGCTGATATCACGTTAAATCTACGTACCTGCACTGCTTGAATTAAGAAAATACATTCAATTATGCATTTATGACTGCAAAAACTATATTTGTTTTTGTCTTGTGTATCTGCAGAGTTTTTAAATAGCTTTTTCAACACAAAAACAAATGTTGCGTAAAATTCAAATGAAAACTATCCATGCATCAGACCCAATTTACAACACCATTTTTCTTTTGTATGGCTATAATATGCTTGATACCGTGCCCCACACAGCTCATGCCTTGAACCAGAATGTTTAGGAAAGCTACATTTTCAAATTAAAAATAGACATGTTCATATATCTGCTAGCTAAAGTCTATGTGCCTAGTTGATGCAGCAACAGGTCAAGCATTAAATTCTGAAGTGCACATTTGGTTAGGAAAATTTTTACATGAACAATAATATTGTTTAAGTGATAATATCCAGCACACTTACATTGGGTCTCAGTTCTGCTGCCATTTTGTAGTAGGATTCTGCTGCTTCATTTAGACTAGCTTGCCTAAAATGAAAAAAGACAAAGTTAATTTATTAATCTATCATGCTTAACATAGACAGACTGCATTGTACAGCAAAAATGACAGATGTGATGAAACCGTGGTAATACTGTATTTTCTGTACTACCTGTTTGACATCGGAATTAATACTAATCAGCTATTATTCTGTCATTTTGGAAATAAGACCCAAAATCCACTCAATCTTTTAGATAATTAGACACAGAATCACTAGTGTTGACCAAATCTATAGATTATGAAATATATTTCTCTGATATGATTTGGTAAATGAAGAGTTCTTACCCAGAAGTGAAAGGTTTAACACAACAACCAAAATTTATTGGTGAATAGGATGGAGGTCTAAACTAACACAAACAATCTATCTAGTTACATAAATGAAATGCTATTAAGAAAGCTCAAACATATTACAAAATACAAACAGTGATACAGAAAAGACATAAGACAAACATTTAGATATAAGTGCAAGGGATATATTCCATAACCACCATGGAACTGGACGTAAAAGTTCCATTCCCTTCCTCTGGTGTTCCAAAGAGAACCTCTCTCTCTCTCGTGTCCATAGTTATAGACCTCTCCTCCATTAATTTTCATAGAGTATCTCTGATTGGTTGGCCAGTCTATTTCCTTTCATAATTGACTAACTTAAAATCCCCTGTATTTAGCATACACCAACCCCCTTTAAGGCAAATCTTGGCACACCCTTTATAGAATTTAAGCATGCCAGTTCCTGACCTTTTCCTGGGAAACTAAGTATTCATGAACGACTGGCCACCTTCATTGCATAAATGAGGTATCCATTGAAGTGCATATTTGGGAAGCCAACAGGTCTGTCCCATTGTTAGATAAACTCTGACACGGAACTGTCTGAAAGAGGATTCTCAGCAAAGACTTCTGTTATACAGTAAAGAAGATGTAATTAATAGAATATTCCCTGTGGCAACTATGGTATCTATAGAACAGGAATTTATGGGAAGATACAGCTCTAACTGAAATATATTCATAATTACATTATTATTTACAGTGTTTAATGGAGATTTCACATAAACTCATTATCTAAGACTAGAAAGGGAAAAAAAAAACCCCCAGCAAAACATAACCGTGCATTACTTTGAGAAAGCAAGGTGTCCCTTCCTCACTGGCAAGGGAAATTCTGCAGTATTTCAGCCAGCAAGGGTGCAATATCTTGCTGTTATGACCATCAAGGTAGAGACTCCCTTACTGAGTGTTTTTTTCCCTCTATAGCCATCCTTTTACTAGTGTGTTGTTGCCTGTGACAGACATGCAAGTGTGACATTAGCCATAGTTATTTTTTATTTACACATTTTCTTTATTAGTTTTCTACATTTTGAAGAGTGGAATCTAGAACATTCTGAAATAAGAGACCCTTGGCATGAATGTAAGAAAAGACTAGAAAAGTAGAAGTATAAACATTCAATGTGTCAAACGATCCAGATAATGGCAAAACAAAAATGCTGTGATCCACATATACCCAGACACTTCCTAGCAAACATCATCAGGAGTGTCCTTCAGGAGTATTAAATATAGTTCTGTGTATACAAAGCAACAGATAAAAGCTCCACAGGGAATGCTCCACAGCTCATTTCATCCAGCAAGTATTCCAACAAATACTGAAAAATAATACTCAGGTCTGCTATTTGTGAACCAAACGTTACCAATGATTTGTTATAATAAAAGAAAACTACTTCAAAGCTAATTTGTATTCCTTATTGCTTTGACTTAAAAGGGAATAAAATTCAGAATTACATTTAAGCATAGTTGCATTTGAAAGAAAAAAAGGAATGCTAGGTATAACAAGATAACATTTGTACAATAAAGACAATCCAGGGAAAAAAAAAGAAAAGAAAAAAAAAAAAACCACCATTAAGAAGGTCTTTATTTTGAAGGATAGGAGTCTTGCTTTTATGTAAACCTACTGCCATTTTTTATATTATTTTTTTTGGCAAAGAAAAACCCAACAGGTTAGAGAGATTTTCAAGCAAGAAATGAGGAAATCTCAGAAGTTGGCATTTCCCTGATGATACTGTCAGGAGAGATAAGAGGTGCTTTTTACATATGTCAAGAAAATTGGTCAAGAGTGCAATGTCAATGTTGCTGTATACCACGGTAGCAATGAATTTTCCCAGAGTTATGTACTTATGGGATACTTATTATGAAATTCAGGAGTTTTTGGACATGTATTTAAAATGAGAAATGGAGGCAGAGATTTAATTGATGAGGAACATTTCTGTACCCTGCAGGTAAAAACAAATGTGACGGTCTGTTTTGCTAAGGACTTGGCTGATGGGTAGATAATGTAATTAAAGACTGGTACTAAAAATTCAGCAGTTGATAACATAGTTTGTAACGTCATGCACACTTATGCTCATAATTTACGCAACAAACTTTGTGAGCTAGCAGCTATTATATTTAGGCCTTTGTTTCATTGTTGGATTCAAATGACTGGGAAAGAACTATAACCAGGACCACATATACAGGAAAGACAACGTAGGAAAGTTGGGAGGTGGAGTTACCATTTATGTCAAAACATAAGAGTAATTTTAATTAGAAAAATAAACAATTTGAAACTCTCGGGGTCTGACTTCACACCAGAGAGGGATCTTCCCTTAGCACTGGTGTAGTATACTGACTGCCAGGACAGTCCAGGGATTATGATAGTTTGTTGAATAATTACTCAAATGACAATGAAGGTAGAGGTTTTATTCATGGATGACTTCAACATGCCGAGCACTAACTGCAATTTTCAAAGTGCATTAACAAGCAAAAGCAGACATATGGTGAAGGCACTTAGAGGGTTTTCCCTGAAACAGTTAGTGAAAAGCCCAACCTGAAGAGATCATTTTCTAGAGCTAGTACTGACAAATTGGGGACAATTATCTGATTTGGAGGCAAGAGAAAATTTGGGTTCTACTGATTACCAGTGTCTTTAGATTGATATTAAAACAAGAACTGAAAAATCATATAAAAAAAAAAAAAAAGTTTTGGATTTTGAAAATTATTGCTGAAATGGGTGAATTTATAAGCAAAAAAAAAACAAATCAAAAGATTAGAGTAAAATGACAGGAGCCTGTAGCCAGTGGGCAGTATTTAAGTCTACCATCCTGGAGGCAGCTAGATTATATGTCAGGCAAATTAGCAGGAGTGAATGGAAGTAAAAACAATATAGTTTACTACAGTAGGATAGCAAAGGAGAAAAAAAACAGACAAATGAAGACAAATGAAGGCCAACACATTATCAGTGCTGCCAAAGCACAAAAAAGAGAAGGAAATGGCTAAATACTTTAGGAAAACAAACAAAAGCTTTTTATACACATTAGTTTTCTCAGAAATCCATACAGAAAAAAGGACTGTATCTCAGGGGCAATGAGTAGGTGCCATGTCCCAATTTACAAATATCCATACACAACAGGGAAAAATGGAGAAAATTCTGAACTGCCGCACAGAAAACAAAAAAAAATGGTAATCGATGCAGCTGCTATCTCTATGATGTAAACACCACTTCAAAATACCTAAAATGTTAAAAAAGCACTACCACCGACCAAATTAATAATAATTAATTTACAATTAAAAAGTGAATACTTGTGAGCCTCTATGTCTCAGATGTTCAGTATAATATGTGCAATAGGTGGTAGTGAACTACCTGTTGTGTTAGGTGCGCTGGCACTTTCACAAACTCACTTAATTGTGTATATGTAAATTGATTAGACGTATCTATAATGCCGCGCTCCTACTATAAATACTTAATAATGTATTGTATATCACTCATATACATCAATAAACTAAATAAATTAATAATAAATATTAATAAAAATCAATAAATTAATTAATGTGATATAGTGAATGAAAAATCAAATCATGAATATGCTAAATTGTGCCATTAGTGCTCAAACAATATTGTCCATGCCATATTCCAATTTCATGATTAAATAAAGAGTCTTTTATATCTTTGTGCAAAGGTGCATACAGAAATGAACAGTCTTATATATCTTTGTGCAAAATGTGCAATGTGCAGGTGAACTCCTTAATCCCTCTTTCCAGGTGCCGTGTAGTCTCAATATGTGCTCACCTTAATATTTGCCCAAATAAATTTAGGCAAATAGACTTGTAGTCCTTCTAGGACTGGTGGGATAGTGCTCCTTTATGCAGTATTCCAGATGGATGTGCAGACCTGCTCAGATCCTCCTCCTATAATCTCCTCTTAAATCATCCACGTGGCCACTCATAGATAGATTTTTGAAAAGGGGGTATCAGTATCTCCTATTTCCCCTCCTGGGGACACCTCCTTCTTATATCCACCTTTCCTCAATGTTGAGTATATAGATCAGATGGAGAAAAAAAAGACCATGGTGTCTTATCCTTTTGAATAAGCGTATTTATTGCTACCAGATGCGGTGATACAAGCATATGAGGCACTTATCTTATGCAGATATGCAGAGCTGGTGATTCCCTCTGCCTCTCTGTCTGCCTCTGCTAGAGTCGCCGAGCCTCTCCGATGCAACGTCGTGACGTCAGAGCCCCTCCCCTACGCGTTGCGTCACAGGGTCACGTGACTTCATCAGGGGGAATTTTCTCCCTGATGAAGTCACATGACCCTGTGACGCAACGCGTAGGGGAGGGGCTCTGACGTCACGACGTTGCATCGGAGAGGCTCGGCGACTCTAGCAGAGGCAGACAGAGAGGCAGAGGGAATCACCAGCTCTGCATATCTGCATAAGATAAGTGCCTCATATGCTTGTATCACCGCATCTGGTAGCAATAAATACGCTTATTCAAAAGGATAAGACACCATGGTCTTTTTTTTCTCCATCTGATCTATATACTCAACATTGAGGAAAGGTGGATATAAGAAGGAGGTGTCCCCAGGAGGGGAAATAGGAGATACTGATACCCCCTTTTCAAAAATCTATCTATGAGTGGCCACGTGGATGATTTAAGAGGAGATTATAGGAGGAGGATCTGAGCAGGTCTG